CGAGAAATTCCGTACGTTCAAAACGACCAGTATAAAAGACGGAAACGCAAAGCACGGGAGTAGTGAGCGGGTTAGCGTGCTGTTGTATTGATGTTTGTATGTGCCATCTATGAGTATGCGCTCAATGTAGGTTCAGCTGATGTCTCTAGAATGCGCAATGTGTTTCATGTGTGTATAAACCTTTCCATTAGGGTCATAGCAGAGAGGGTAATAGACAGAAAAAAATTCCCTCCTCTCACCCTAATGTCGTCTTCTCCGCCGAGTGAGCTGCACCTAGCATACGGCTGGCGTACAAACTCCGTTTAAAATCGCGTTATTTTGGAAATTTCAAGCGCAGATACGCAGATTTTGGTATGACAGTTATCGTGTAATACTATGCTAGATAAGAGGACTAACAGGGTCCAATTGCGCTGTTACCTGTGTGCATGCAAATAAGAAAAAATAAAAAAATAGTGAAAATTGTGAAAATTGGCCAGTCTCTCCGGTTGCTGTACCTTTTTTGCTATACAAAGTTCGTACTGGTGTAGGCCTTTAGCGACCATGAGTGGAAGTCTGAAATAATAAATAAAAGCGTGCTCTCCTGCCGCAATACACGCAGAAGTTGAAGGTAGTACTGCCGGCTGACTCAACTGCTATTTAAGTAACGGAAAAAGGTATGCTAGTTGATCATTTACCAAAATAGAACAACAGAGAGCTATAGGCTGATTTTGGAGTAGCCATAACTATTCTAAGAAGGCGAACCACTTCACAACGGCAGCAACGAGCGAGAGTTCGATGTTCCGTACAGCCCGCAGGTACAGCCCTAAGATGGAGAATGGCAACCTCCCGGTTTGTCCGGTTTGTCGTCTGCTAGCGGAGTCGGGCGCGTGCCCTCTCTCTCGTTTTGCCCCGCCGAACCCGCTGAACTACCCGGATGTATGGAGAGGGCGCTGCTGTCGAACAAAATGGTGCCGCCTAGAGAGCGCTAAATGGAATGGTCTATAATAAAGGTTCCTGATGATCCCGAAGCGCAATGGTGGCGTGAGGGTATAGAAATATTTTTGTAGTACATGAATCGGGCGGTACCTAGCGCCACCTAGCCTCGCTACTTGCAATTACTCTGATTGACCCGGTGGCAAGCGATTTCATCTTCTTTCACGCTACGCGATAAACGGCGGCTTCAAGTGTGTTCTTTTGAGAGCGGCTTCTGGTTTCTCGGATTGGTTTGCCATTCCTCCGTGATGTGCGGTTGACGAAGGAATTGTGACTCGACGAATAGCAAAGGTAAGACGCGAAGTGCGCGATGAAACTGGGTATCGGTTGTCTCTCTTTAACATCGCAGTGCTGTCGACGAGAAGACTGAGTAACTGCTTTTAAAACGTAAGTTTTTTTTTACCTGCGTTGGGAATCTGGTTTCGGATATAAATAGAGTTCGCGGAAAGCTCATGTTACGCTTTTATTTGCTGCTCCTCTCGTCTCGCACGAGAGACGCATCCGCATCGTCCTCGTTAAGCCTTATTGAGCTCGATTTGTTCGATTCGGGCCCGCTATAATGAGATGCAGGCGACGGAGGAACTTTGCTCCCCTGCTTCGGGGACGAAAGTTTCTCCCTCTCTAAAAGAACATAGGTTACAAGACCGTTCCTCCCCTTAGGGAGGACTATCGATACCCTTTTATCTAAGAGCGTGCTCTCCTATGGCCAAACGGTTCCAGTGGCAAAAGTAGTGACGGCTGCTTTTGTTGCCAAACGGTATACCAGTAGCCCCTTCTCATGGGCTTAACTGAATATCGGAGCACAGAGATCGGTACTTTAAGAAAATCGCGCGACAATTTATACATTTATACTGCCCTGGACAGCTTAGGAAACGATGGACGTAGCGGATTATCTTCGCACTTCTTGCATTATGATTCGTCCTTCGGCGTTCTGATTGCTTAATGTCGCACATTGGCTGCGGATAGTAAAAAATATAAGTCGAGACTCTCACAGCACCTTGCGTTTCTTACGTTGCCTGTGACTCTAAAGACTCCTCGAAGTGTACGATGTTTCGAACGTTAGTTATACCAGCGCAAGGGTTGTTTTTAGAGCGCAGCTCTAAGGCGCCCGCTTCCGGCTTGAGCGGCGTCGCCGTCACCGTCGGCGTCACCGTCGGCGTCGGCGCAACCGCGCGGTGCATGATAGATAAATTTCTCCGCTAAATTTAGCGGGAAATGTTCCCCGCTAAATCTAGTGCAAAATTTCCCCGCTAATTCTAGCAGAAATCTTTCCCCGCTAAATTTAGCGGAAAATTTTCCCCGCTAAATCTAGCAGAACATTTTCTCCGCTATATTTCGCGGAAAATTTTCCCCGCTAAATCTAGCGAAACATTTTACCCGCTAAATTTAGCGGAAAATTTTTCCCGCTAAATTTAGCGGAAATTTTCAACGCTAAACTTAGCGGGAAATTTCCCCCGCTAAATTCAATTGAAACTTTTCCCCGCTATATTTAGCGGAAACATTTCCCTGCTAAATTTAGTCGGTAATCTTCCCCGTTAAATGTAGCGGAAACTTTTCTCCGCTAAATCTAGCGGAAAATTTTCTCCGCTGAATTTAGTGGAAAATTTTCCCCGTTAAGTTTAGCGGAAAATTTTCCCCGCTAAAATTTTTCCCTAAATGGGAGACAAGCAGGAGAGGAGGGGCATAGCCTCCTCTCCGTACCCTTCCCTCCTCCTCCTCAAGAGCTGCGCTCTAATTCGGTGTTACAGGGAGTTGTTAACGGCTTTGATTTCTTCATCGACGCCTTTCAGGCACTGTCATTCGCCTTGCACACCGGACTATACATTCACTGACTCATCACATAGGGGTAGTAGACACCCGACTTGCAGGCACGCAAACGCCACCAAGAAAGGGCCGACACTTGATACTCCCCAAAATATTGACGATAGTCGGTAACCGGTTAAGGGTTCGTGGGGAAGCTCCTCCCACCCCCTTTCACTTTAGCAGCGCGTACCCTGGAGAGCAGGTCGCCTCCTCTCCAGCGTTTGCTCTGCTAAAGTGGAACGAAGTGGGAGGAGCTTCCCCTGAACTCTTAACCTGTCATCGACTGTGGACTACTTGTTGTCACTTTACAAAAATAAGCGCGGCAGTTTAAAATAAAAATCAGGCGCACATGTCCTCGTTGTATTTTTAATTAGAAAAATACGATCGACGTGAGCATCGAAAACACAAACGCGGTGCAAATATCGAAACCAGTTGGTGATAGGTGTTTTGAACAGACCTCAGCGATATCGTGAGTTCTAAGGATTAACATTTGCAATTATTAGGAAGGATGTACAGACTCAGCTGAACTTCCGGCAATAAAATCATGGCTACACAGTCTAGCCTAAGTGATTGTCTCTGCTTGTCCTTCTCGCGCTTCTGGGCTAGGCCTGGAGCACCGCAAGGGCAATAGCTGGGGGTTGGGACGCGTGTTTGCTGCTGTCCACGTTCCTCATAAGCGATTTTGTATTGTTATTCATTCAGAAAGCAACAAAAACTACGTTACTCGTTCCTGTTTGTAACACAGCACTCAAGCTGTGATTTTGCTCAACCCAAAAACGGCTGAGCAACGACTTTACGAGTTCTCATTTATAACTTTTGTCAGTGACAGGACAAGAACGGCAAAGAGGAATTTCATTTGTCCCGCCTCCAGCGCGAAATTCGTATAGTTCCCTTCAAAAACATTTCGGCATCTCGTCAGCTTCGAGCTTGCACCCGTAATCAAAGCACGACGGAAAGCAACGAGCTCCTGTTGGAGGCTGCGCATCCCAAAGGAGATGTCCTGCGTTTCTTGCCCCGTCGGTGAATATGCGGAGCTCAAGTTCGTCTGCTTCCTGCACAGGGGTTGCGATGATGCCAAAACGCCGAGCTCTTATTGCCTGGTTAAAAAAAAAGAACTGTAGATCTCAAGGCACCTAGTATTGGGGTCTACCCACACTCCTTTCAATCAAGGCCATTCAAAGCTCGGACTCGTTCTGACATCACCGCCACTCTGCACAAGGAGCGAGCGAATTGCTCTCCGCAAAGACCGTTGTTTTCTGTGGCGGCTGCCATGTTGAGTTCTGACGTAGCTGTGTTGGTAAAAAAAAAAAAAGAACGCAAATCACTTTATTCGACGACTGGAAAGCGCTAGAATAGACTTATTCAAAAACTCAAAGTGCCTCATCGCGGCGTAATGCCACGTTATGCATTGTGGGAATCAGCGGGAAAGAAAAATCCATACGCGCGCTCCGCTCCTGGCCTGCAGGTTTCTTGAATAGAACACGCGCGGTGACGGATTTATGGGCGTAGTCTTTTCAAGAGGTTTGTGCCAGTAGTTCTACTTTATTGCAGTTATATTCAAAACTATTTTAGTTTTTGTCGCCCAACCCAACTATGGCATATTGCAAGATGGCAACCGTAGCACAAAGACGGTCTATTGGCGCCGGGATGTTTTGGCGGAGCCTTCTTAGGTTCCCATCAGTGATGTCACAACCAGGATTTGTCCACCGTGATGTCACAGGCTGCGATATTAGCTATACTTATCATCAGTTGCGAATGGAAAGTTCAATGATGTCAGTAAAAATCAGGGCGCAATTTTGACGCCGCCCAATTTTTAAACCAACAACGTCAAAGCTGACAGTCGAACATTGCCTATATTTCTGTTGATAAAACCAATATTCCCTGATTGGATTCGTCCACTTATCAGAAGGCGCCGGTTACATTTACCCCCTCACCCTACCCTTCCCACGATCTCCATCCCCATTCTCCCTTCGCGATTGGATAATTTTATCGAGTGATCGTGAACTATTCATTCCTTCAATAAATATGCTTTCTCACTCACTCAAAATTAATACCACTAAAGACGCCTATAAGGTAAGTTTGGCCAATCGTAAAAAAACCGACCCCCACCAACACTTTTGGTTGCGCACTTCGCCAAAAGAGCGTTACGTGTAGCGTATAGCTTTCACAGTCTGTCGTCTTCAGAGTCGGGCAAGGGACGTGCGTCGACGAGGGCCTCCCCTCACCAGAAGCTGTACGCTGCGAAGCCGAGCCAGGTGGACGTCTGGAAGAGCATGAAGGGAACGACGACCACGGTGACGGCCCAGTGGAGCTGAGAGGCCACGGTGAACATCGCGTACGCCCAGGCCATGTACAGCGCCGGAACCATGGACACGGTCAGCAGGACGGCGAACAAGAGTCCGCACTGGTACCTCCGCGCAGAGCGGGCCGTCAGCCAATCCAAGACAGACTGCGCAAGCCCAGCATTGCCTTGCATTTCAAGCTCCCTTGTATCCCTATTTCTGTACAAACCATTTTTCGCACGGCGGATGAAATATGCTTTTTGCAGAAGTGGCAGCGGCTGCTATGCTCGCGGTTCATGTACGACTCCAGGCAGCTGATGTGGGCCCAGCGCAAGGTACCTTAAAGGAAGGACAACCGTTTATATGGACAGCAGACGTCATTTTAAGAAGTATACTAAGTACGGTTACTTGGAACTCGTTTGCAAACTAAATAAGTCGCTCGGTATGCAGTCACTATACACGACGCACGTAGGAATCTCGGTCTCGGTTGACATTATGAGGCTTCGGAAGGGTCACTTTTAGGAGAGATGCATGTCATCGTACTTCCACCTTCCCAATCTAGGAGTTGCTGTTAACGATGCACCGTTACCAACATGCCCGGTCGTTTCTGGAGACCAAATCTCGGTCTCCAGAATATCTTATTTCCTTTAATTTGGTGGCATGACCCAATCATCGCCTAAGCCAACCAAGCGCAGTGAATGCGACGCAGTCTTGCGCTTTTACAGTGTCTGTCGGTGTTCTTTTGTCTTCCAGCCTTTTACTCTGATCTGACTTACGGTGAAGCAAAGGGTAGTCCGCGAAAGAAGAATGTCGACTTGTTTTCCCACTCGTGGCAAGACTTTTTCGGGTTTGACGACTCCAGTTTCACTCGCCTTACAGGGGCCGCCCTCCTGTAGCCATCGATTTCAGCTCCACTACGCTGCTCTGAATGGAAACCGGGTAATTTTGGCACGCTGAGAAGAGTACGGTGACCCTGAGCCACTAAACCCTATTCAATTGGTGTGATTTCGGTAAACAAGAAAAAATAAGCCTTGTTCACCCGGATAAGAACTGACCGGTACCTCCTATATATCACGGTTTCACTCCAGGACTTACAATGTCCTCCCTTCCAGCACTTATAACCCACGAGAAAATTACCGAGTCACTAGGCTGTGAACACATGCCCGGAGTGGGATATTACAAAAGTTAAAGTTACTGCGCACGTCCAGACCGCATTTCACACCCCAGTAAACAAAGACGACAGCGCGCAGATGGCGAATATTGGAATAGTATATAAGTGCCCTTTGTTCGAACCGGCGATTAACGGGAGAGGCCTTCCTACTCACTGCGCTTCCTGCACCTGCACGGCGCCACCATCTGCTCGGGGTTGCTGTCCAGGCCGCAGTACCTGCACACCAGGTGGTGGGTGAGCGAGGCCCGGCTCGATTGTCGCACGGCGACGGCCGCGCGGGCATGGTTCTCGATCGCTGTCCTGACCGAGCCGCCGGCAGAGGGACCACCGGACGAAGGTTCGGCTACTCTCGCCACCCTGGTTCCCTCTGCGTCTGTCCCGGTCAGCGGAACTGGACGAGAAATGCAATAGGTCCTCGAGTAAGAAGACTTCTGAGAGTCGCGCAGTGCTAAAGTAAAATCTAAAGAATAGCGCCAATTTGTTTTTGTTTTTAAAGCATCGGAAAATTATTTTGCGATAATTAAGAAAAAAAAACGAGACTGCAGGTAACGACACAAACGCTGAAAAGTCTCAAATTTTGAGACTTTTCAGAGTGTGTGTCGCTACCTGCAGTCTCGGGGTTTTTTGAACCCTGTTTAATGTACATTAGCTCATTTGCGCCCTTACATTTATTTTATTTTGCAAGCCTCTGGTAATCGGGAGATCTGGAGAATTCAGCGATTGATTTACATTCAATTACAGCAACCATTTACTTTACCGACTGCGAGTTGAAAAGAGATTGATTCCAGCAATATATCAGCGAACATTTTAAGGGATTTGTTTGCTTCAAACCAGATTGCCTATAATGGGTGCTAATTGTTTTGAACCCATTTCTTTTTCTCTTTTTGTGTTTGTTTAAATCTGCGTTTGAATGTACTGTGTGCATTCACGGTTGTGCAGGTTGTTATATTTTACTATTGCTTTAGCGTAGTGTTGTTTCTCTCGTGTGGTAGTTCACTCATGTTTTCGATTTGTCATATTATTATCATTGTATAAGTTCCTAGCGTTTTGTTATCATTGTATAGATTTATTTGCTACCTGCATCGCCACTGCTGGTTTGGCTGGCTAAGGGCCAGTCAAGCTGTTTTCACCGCTTTATTTCCTTGTCACCTTCGAGGAGGAGGAATAAACTTTATTATAACTTGAGCAGACGAAAGCTTGTGGGTCGTCCCCAGGTGGGTGGCTGCCTCAGTCCAGGATGCCATGGTCCCGCGCTGCCAGTCTGGCCCTGTTCACCAGTCGGGACTGGTCCTCAGGTTTTAAGCTGGTCAGCTGGTCCTCCCACTGCTCCGCGGTTGGTCGGGAAATGGGGGGTATGGAGGTGTTGTGCATGCACTCCCATACCATATGGTAGAGAGTGTTAGGCACTCGACAGTTTTTACAGTCGTAGTCATATTGAGTTGGGTACATTGCGTGAAATAATGTGCCGTGCGGGAAAGTGTTAGTTTGTAGCTGTCTAAGTGTCACGGCGTCCTCTCTGGATATTGTAGGGTGTGGGGGAGGGTAGGTTCTCCTCTCTAGTCTGTAATGCGCTAGAATGTCGGTGTATCTTTTTGGAACGCCCTCGTCTGTATCCGCTGGAGCACGGTCGCCCAGCGAGGTAGCCCGGAGAGAGTGTTCTCGGGCAGCGGCATGCGCCGCTAGATTACCCGCTAGGGTTTCATGTCCTGGGGTCCAGACTATGACTATTTCGGGGGGATCTTTGATTTTTTTAACGTTTCGAGGGCCAATCGTGATATTCGGCCTAGTTGGTAATTTCTGCAGGCGGCTTGTGAGTCTGTTATTATCGTGAGGAGTTCCTTGCCTGTCGTCGCCGCAAGAGCGATTGCTGTCTCCTCTGCTGAGTCCGTGTCTGGGGTCCTCACGGAGGCCGCCGCGATTTCTTCTCCCTTGTTGTTTACCACGCTAATCGCGTGTGCTTTCTTTCCCTTGTATTTCGCTGCGTCTGTGTACCGCACGCGGTCATCGTCTCTCTCGTAGGTCTTTCTCAGTGCTCTCACTCTTGCCATTCGTCGTTCTTTGTTGTGTTCTGGATGCATGTTGCGAGGAATGGATGCAACTGTGATATTGTCTCTTAGTTGTAATGGAATCCTTTGCTTACTTCTTGACTCGTCTTCGATTCCGTAGCCCAGTCTTCTTAAGGTGTCCCTGCCTGTACTGGTGAGCTTAAGTCTTTCAACCTGGCTCACCTTGTGTGCTTCTGCCAGCTCTTCCCATGTGTTATGTATACCCAATCGGAGTAGTTTCTCTGTGGAGGTTGTTGGGGAAAGCCCCAAGGCCAGTTTGTATGTCTTGCGAATGAGTGTGTTAATCTTCTCGCGCTCGCTGTTTTTGAGCCCCAGATACGGGGTCCCGTACGTTATTCTGCTGATGACGAGTGCTTGAATGATTCTCAAAGTGTCTTGCTCCTTGAGGCCGTGGTTTCTGTTTGTTACCCGTTTTACTAGGTGCGTAACTTGTGTGACTGTTTCTTGGAGTTTTTGCACTGTGGCGATCCCTGCACCATCCTTCTGAAATACTACTCCCAGGACACGGAGCACGTCGACTTGTGGGATGTTATCTTCATGTAGAGTTAGTACGGGGTCTGGTGTTTCCGGTGGAGGACGACCTCTCGCCCTCTTTTTTAGCACCAAAAGTTGCGATTTTTTCCGGAGCGCACGAGAGACCACAATCTTTCAAATATCTCTCGGTCCTGTTCACCGCTTCTTGCAGAGCGTCTTGCTGCATTCCTGCCGACCCCGACGTCGTCCATATGGTAAGGTCGTCCGCGTAGATTGCATGGCTGAGACCTTTAATGTCTTTTAGAAGGAGCGGTAGACCCCTCATTGCAATATTGAAAAGCAACGGCGAGATCACCGATCCCTGAGGGGTTCCCTTTTGTGGAGCCTTGATCTGTTCGGTCCTTAGGTTTCCCAGGCCTATGGTCGCTGTCCGGTCTGTGAGAAAGTCACGGACGAAATTGTAAGTCTTTTGGCCGCAGTTTGTCCTTTGTAAGCTGTCTAGCACCGCACTGTGGGAGATGTTGTCAAACGCCCCTTTGACGTCCAATGCTAGAATTGCGCTCTTGTGCTGCGTGCTGAGGTTGTCTATTACATCCTCTTTGAGTTGAAGAAGGATGTCTTGGGTCGATAGGAGAGGTCTGAATCCAAACATCGTGTTAGGGAGGAATTCGTTCTCCTCGAGATACGGGGATAATCTGTTGTGTACCATGTGCTCGAATAGCTTTCCCACACACGATGTGAGGGATATTGGTCTCAGGTTCTGCACAGTGATCGGTTTGCCCGGTTTTGGGATCATTGTCACATCCGCGTGTTTCCAGCATGCCGGTATCTTCCCGGTCTCCCAGCTCTCATTGATGTGCTTAAGGAGACACTCCGTGGCTCTGTCGTCCAGGTTACGGAGCGTCTTGTTGTTAACTCTGTCCCTTCCTGGGGTCGTGTTTCTCGTCAAGTTCCTGAGCGCCGCCACTATCTCTGCCCTGCTGAAGGGTTGATCCAACTCTGGGTTGGATTTTCCCTCGTAGTCCAGGTGAGTGATCGTCGTCGTCTGTTGTTGTTGGTTGCCAATGTATTTTTCAGTGATGGCTTCGAGCACGTCTTCCTCTGAACCCTGATAGTTGTGGATGAGGCGTTGAATATGTTGGCACGTGACCTTCTTTGACTCGGTCTTTGCCAGCAGCGACCTAAGTATTGCCCATGTTTTGCGATTGCTCAGGGTACCCTGTAGCCGGTCGCATAGCTGATTCCAGTTTTGTATTCCGAGTTTCTCTGCGTACTCCTCAGCTTCCCTGGTCAACAGGGCAATGCGGACCTTGAGCTTGCGGTTTCTCTTTTGTTTCTTCCATCTTTTTAGGAGGCCCTGTCGGGCCTCCCAGATGTGGAGTAAGTGCGGGTCAACTTCGGGGTTGTCCGAAGTGAGTTGTATCGTCTTTGTGTGCTTGGTTACCTCTTCCATCACTTGCCTGGTCCATTCTTCAATATCGTCCATGTCCGCTGGGTGTTCCACCTTTCGGAACGCGGTCCAGTCCGTGATCTTCGCTTGTCCCGTTCTCAATGGAGTCTTGTTGTGTCGGAGTTCGGTTTGAATTATATAGTGATCGCTTCCTAGGGTTTCTTCCAGCCTTGTCCATTCGATTTGCCGTATGCCCTTCGAGAAAGTTAAGTCGGGGCTTGGGTCCCTGGAGATGCTGTTTCCAATCCTGGTTGGACACTGAGGGTCGTTCCACAGCGTCAGTTGGTGGTGCTGAGCCGCGTTGTGCACATCCGTGCCCTTCTTGTTGGTTTTGTGGTATCCCCACGCTACATGCGGTGCGTTGAAGTCCCCAACTACGAGTATCTTCTGCCCTTTGGTAACTTTCTTTACCTCCCTCAGGAACTTGTCCAAGTCCCTTAGGTTGTCCGAGGGCGGGCTGTAAACATTCAGGATAAATAGACTCTGTAATGTCTACTTTTGTGGTATCATCTCTATCAAAGTGTGCTCAATTCTGTGGCCGATTTGGTGTTGTTGTGTTGTGTGGTGTTTCTTGGTGAGGATGGCTGTCCGGTTTTTTCCTTCGGCTATGTGTGTCTCGTAGCCCCGTATCTTTATGGTGTCTTTTTCTGTTTCTTGTAGCGCGATGATATCCGGTTGATGAAGGCTGATAAATTGTAGTAGATTTTGTCTTTTCCGGTTAATCGATCGGCAATTCCACTGCCAGATTTTGAGGATTTGGGCCGCGTCTTTCTTTCCCGTCTCTTTACTCTCCATTGTGGGTTCTGATCGTTTCTTCTGTCAGCGCATCCCCTCCTGGCGACGTTTTCGGCTTCTTTCGGGCTTGTTCCCTTTCCTTCTCAAGGTCGGAAATACGTTGGTTGAGCTCATCACCCATCTTGCCCATCTGGGCATTGAGGGTCTCCCCCATTCGATCAATCTTGGCGTTGAGGGTCGTACTCATTTGGATGATGGTTGGATTAACGTTTTCAAAGACCTTATTCACGGTTTCCATCATTTTGCTCATTTTATGTTCAACTGCTTTTGTCATCTGGCTCATTGTCTGATCAATCTTCTGATCGATCCTCTCATCTAATTTGTTCATGTGATATTCCATTTTTTGTTCGAGGTCCTCCGGCAGAGGTGTCGGAGCTCGCGGCGGTATTTGCGGCAGTTGTTGCTGCTGTTTCTGCATCTGCTCTATAAACTGTTGCAGTTTCTGCTCTAGGGCCTGTTCCCTAGCCTTCGCTTTTTTTTCGTTGTTTTCTAAGCGCCAGATAAGCTCCGCGTTCTGTTTCTTAAGTGTGTCTATGGTCTGCTCGAAATGTGCGTTACTTGAATCCTGCTGCGTGACCGGCAGTGGGGGAAATGGGTCTGGAGCATTGGGAGAGTGGGACCCCAGCTGGGGCCAGCTCACCACTCTGTCCTGCGGCAATGACGTCCGTTGCTGCTGCTCGAAAGGGCGGTCGTTTGCACCTCCCGTCCAAGCGGCTTGTTTACTTTGCGATTTGCTTCTTTCCCTTACGTGTAACGGTGGGGGACTTGGTTTGAGTCGTTTCTGGCATTCCTTGCTTGCCGTTTCGTGGGGTTGGTAGCACAGCTTGCACTTAGGCTGACACTCGTGATTGTCTTGAGGATTTTCCGCTCCGCATCGGTTGCACCTGTTTGTGTCCGGGTTGGGACAGACGTCCTGTCTGTGGCCGACATTCCCGCAGGCTCTGCAGTACTGCACGGATCTGCGGTGGGGCCGGCATCGGGTGAACACGCTACCCGCTTTCACGTAGAATGGCACGTGCGGTCCCTCAAACGTGAGTAGCGCCGAGCTGGATTTTCCGAGCATTCTTGCGTGCAGAATGCTGTAGCCGTTGACTGAGATAAGTTCTTTAAGTTCCTCTTCTGTTGTTCCTGCTTCTATTCCGTGCACCACTCCTCGTACGGTGCCCGGGAGCGGTTTTAGGTAAGGCATGAGTTCGTACAAGGCCGCGCCTAGCTGTATCTGGGTGATCATGCTCAGCTTCATGGCGTAGTCCTCGTCCGCAGTACTTGCGATGATCAAGTTCTGAGCCCATTGCGTCTGGATCGTCACATTCGAGTAGAAGTCTTTGAATGGAAAACCGCCTGCTGTGGCGATGCCTTGCGTGAGGCTTTTATCAGACCACGAAGAAAGCTTGAGGCCCGTTCTTGGTCTGTATACTACCTTGTATTCATCCTCTGGTAATGGTGGCAACATGCGTTTCCTTGGTGGCGTGTTGTTGCCTCCGCGGGTTCTTCCGTCCCCGCGTCGCTGTTGCTGCAGTTGGTTGTTGGTCGGTTGCATCTTTGGGTTGGTCAGCCCACTCGTATCTTCTTTTAGATTCTGGGCGCTGTTCGCCTTGCTGCTTCCTTTTATGCGGTTCTCATCCGCTGTTTTCTGGCTTTTTCTTTCTTTGAGAACTTCGTACCACGGGCCAGGCTGGCTCAGCGTCCTGCCGCTGTTTTCATCGAACTCCATGTGCGTGCCGCTCGTTCTGGTACTCGCGCTGTTCTCCATGTCTATCTCGTTGTTCATTCCCTGCTTTGTTACTTGCGTTTGTATCATGCTTGCGGGGCCCGAAGGCCCGCGCGCAAAGCGGGTTTCGGCGTTGGGTCTCGCTTATTTCTTTCTCTCGGCGGGTGCCCCGTGTTCGAGTATAGCCAAGATGGCGACCGCTTGTATTCCTGGTGAGGCTTAGCTCTCCGCATACGAGGTAGATCTTTCCAAGGTGGAAATTTGGCCGAAAAATTCACTCACTTGTGCAGCTGTGGTATCCCTCGGTGCCGCTTTTCTTGGTGAATTGAATGACACTGAAGATTATAAGGATATTTTGGTACTTTCGCGTTAACTGCCTAAAAAGGGCAGGAGCCCATGTGGAGCAATTCTGCTTCGCTCGGCCCCCTGGTGTCTTTTTCCGTCACCTTCGAACAATTTTTTTAATAAAATTATTATTATTATTAAATCAAGAGTAATGGCAATCCACGGTTCTTTGAATAAGCTCGTATACTGTGTCACCCATTGGCAGTACATAGCACAGTACAGGTAAGCACAATTAAAAGCATAGCGTACCAACTGATATCCCACACGTGCGAGCACGAGCACCATGCACAGCGTCGGTAAGGTGCCCAGGTGCTTTGTTATTCATACAGTGAGATTTAAATGAATTTCCTTCCCTTAAAATAATTCTTAAATTAGTTTCGCATGCTCTGACATTGTAAATTACCATAAATCTGCTGCTATCGGGCGTATTTTGCTTTGTGAGATTATCATGGATCATACTTGCCTCAAAAAAAAAGTTACAAATAAAAAGATATATGTATTTTCCTGCTAACTAACGTCGAGTTAAGACGTTCTGATTCCAGTACGTAAAAAAGAAAAATCAGTGCCATTGGGAAGATCGAACAAATAGAACCACGAGAGTCAATATTTCGTTCTAAATTGATTTTTTTTTCCTTAAAGGGCTGTGCAACGATAGTAAGTAGGACCTTTTCTCACTTTACACCAGCTTACTGGCACTAGTTGGACACAAGAATGCTCGAACGCAATGCCACTGACCAAGAAGCGTCTTCGTCATGGTAGAATTCCAAGAATAAGAGAACAATGCGACCCCCAGGAGTGCGTCATCAAGCTATGCGATCCATGCTGTGACGAGACTTAAATACCGATGACACAGTGGACACAAACATGGGCGTACCAATCGGGGAGGCAAGGCGGGCGCTTGCACCCCCCCCCCCCCCCCCAGTTCCCAGAGTGGGGGTGCAAGACATGTGTTTTGCCCCCCCTGAAACGGCCGCCACTGGGCAGGGCAAACACTGGCCGGCGACGCCCAAGGAATACCAAAGGTATACTGCCCCCCGACCCGTGCGGGCATGTTTTTAACGCGCAGGCGATACAAACCCTAGCAACGGCGCTCACGCCGGATTTGCTGGTTCGTGGAGATAGGCGCTGCCACCGTCAACATAGGCAGCGGATACAATGCGAGTTTCCGAAGAGGTAGCGTAACTTAGTGGTAAGATGTCTGCCTCATACGTATCAGACCCAGTTCTATTTATGATGTGGGCTTACTTCTGTTATTTTTTTTTCCTCGAACATTTTGTTTTTTTTTAGGCATTTGGCGATATTTACGACATTTCTTTTTTTACGATTAACACTGAAAAAGAAAACAAAACAAAAAAAAACGAATGTTGTTGACGAAATTTAACATCGCTGAACAACATCTCATGGGACTCTATTTACGGAAGTCCATGGGGGACAGCGGTGCTTGGGTTGCCGACTGGACGCCATAAAGCGGCGTGTACGGGGGGGGGGGGGGGTGCATGCGCCCCCCTTAAGTTACGTCTGATTAGTCAAAGAGTTCTAAATGAATCGGCAGTAATGGCTTTAATGACAATGTGGTTATTCCAGGAAAGATCAGATGTTAGTCTTACACAGTAGCGGCCTCAATCAGATCGGACCCCAAAAATCAGTTTGCATTTAGACTTGTTTAATGAAATCATCCACTCTTTGCACCAATTGTTAATTTTATCTAGATCTTCCTGAACCTGGTTATTATTTTGCACACAAGTTACTTCGTTATAGATGACGCAGTCGTCGGCGAAAAGGCGTATTTTTGAACCAATGGGAATGTCATTAATAAATATTAAAAGAGTAAAGGCCCGAGTACGAACCCCTGGGGAACACCAGAAGATGCATTTACTCATAATCATTAATGGACGTGAGCTAGGGTGACCACCCGTCCGGCGACTCGCGGGACTGTCCCGCATTGAGAGCGCGTGTCCCGCGTCCCGCAAGAAATACCAAAATCTTTAAAATGACCCGCATTTCACATTGTCGTAGCATTCACTACGCAAATTATGGCGCTTCTGAAGAACGGGCCGCGGGGTAGCGCGGAGGTCGCTGATAAACATGTGAATATCGATGGTCGATGGTATGCCATTTTCTATACAAGCACTGCGAGGAGCGACCGTCGTTTTTGCAGGAAATAGACGCGCATGTGCCGTTGTGCCTCTCCCCTTGATGGAAAAATATTGCGAGCGAAAATTGCTCGCCAAAGTTGAAAAATAAACTATTATAATTATTTGCAAATCATACTGTGTCATGCAAAAGGGTTGTTGTGAAAAGCTTTTCTTTTTAGTAAAGACGGCCACACAAGACAAAAAAACCTGCAACTCACGAGGGTAATAAAAAACAAAAACACATAAGATTCTAATTTTGTGTAAGAGCATGTTAGTATAAGAGTAAGTATCCACAGGAAACAATAAGCCGAAAAAGATTTACTATTTCTTATCTCCCTTCCATGCATTTGGGGTCTGCTGCAGGCAAAGTTTTATGGATTCAACTTAGACACCCATAATAAAATATTTACCAATACAATTACACAAAAATATATCACTGTGAATGAAAATTATTTTAGCTTAATTGCCGCCACACAATTTTCAGGTGTAAAATACGATTTCGGAGAGCACAGGATATCGGAGTGCGCGTGATGGTGAATTCTTTTAAATACTTTTTTTCTTGATTTTTGAAAATACCGTCCTCCTTTTACTTCTCCCAACTCCCTCTTCCTCTCCTCTCCCTCTCCTCTCTCCCTCTCCTCTCTCTCTCTCTCTCCCCCCCCCTCCCCCCCCCCTCCCCCCCCCCTCCCCCCCCCCCCCCCCCCCCCCGTTCAGGGTGTCCCGCATTTCGCCTGCCGGGAGGTGGTCACCCTAACGTGAGCTGTACACGGAAAAAAAAGAAAGTCACGAATCCATGCAAACGGTTATTGGACGAGACAAAGATATGATAGTTTAGAAGGAAGGCGTTGATGGGGGACACGGTGGAACGCGTTGGAAAAATCAAGAAAAGCTGCGTCAGTCTGGACATGGCATTCAAGGATAGTGTGCAAGTTATGGATGAATACACAGAGGTGTGTTTCGCAGGAAGGTACCTTTTGAAAACCATGCTGCTGTTTAAAGAAAAAAGAATGGGATGATAGGTGCCTCATCATATTGGAGTAGAGGATATGCTCAAGTAGTTTGCAAGAAATTTAAGTAAAAGAAATAGGGCGATAATTAGATGCGAAAGAGCGGCTGCCCTGTTTAAAGACTGGGATTGCCCTTCCCACCTTCCAGTCAAATGGAAGACAGCTTTGAGATAAGGACTGATTAAAGATGAGTTTCAAATAGTCACGAGAAATAACACTGATGTTTTTTTTTTGTTTTTTTTTTTTAATTTTAGAGTTGATGTTATTGGTTCCAGCGGACGAAGTAAGTTTTAGACCATCAATAAATTTTTTAATACCGGCGGAGTTAACGTTAATAGGATGCAAGCGCTCGTAAAGCTCTTCAGGGAGAGTGGGGACGGAATCCAAGCACTCGTTAGTAAACACTGATGAAAAGTATTCGTTAAACAGAGAACTATCATGCCCGACGTTGCACATTCGACATTCCAACCTAAACGTCCATCTGTTGCCTAACACCAGAAACCGGAATTTTAAGGGTTAAAAACGGCACGTAGCGAATATGGAACGCATACTCTTATGATAAGCTGACGTCAAGTGACTCAGATCGAAAAACATGCATATTTACAATATTGTTATCTCTTCTGGTGAAGGCTCAGCAACCGTTGCATTCGTTTTCGCGCACGAAACGGTGACTTTCGAGAGAGTAAAAGCACAGTGATTGCCTTTATTTTAACATTATAAACGCACTTGCAGGCGTGCGCTGATGAAGCCTCAAAATCAAAACTCTCGTAGCGTGATTCGTGACTGTGCCGGCTACTACCCAACCTCATTGTCACGCCACTTTCTGCAAGCAAACACTAAAATTGCCAGTAAACACACAAAAGCGACGTCGATACACTTATCTGGTAGAATATCACCTTATTTAGTAATAACTGTTTCAATAGGTACTACATGTTGTATTTATTTTAAGAAGAAAAAAACAAAATGTTTTTTGTGAGAAAAAAACAAAATATTAATGTTAAGTCTGGTAACATTGTATTTTTGACGAATCACTGCCAAATCTTTAGAAAAGTTCGGCAAAAGTTGCGCAGAATTTTCGATTCGGCAAAAATTCGGCCCATCACTAGTAAAAATATGCGACCCAGGGTGAGGGGGGGGGGGGGGGGGGAGGGAGGGTCTGGCTAGCCCCCCCCCACTCAAAAACAAGTTGGTACGCCACTGGACACAAAGACTGCGTAGGCATTTGATTTTGGCTCGTGACAATCAATGCCTCAACATGAATTCGGGTAGTGGCTTGAGCCCAATCGCTAGGATGATGGAAATAGCCGATCCTAATTAATGCGTGGAAAACAAATCGGGTTGTGTATATGTTCATACAGCCTAGGACTTAGTCTACCTCAACGAGTGACTTGTCTCCCAGCTGTCGAGGAGCAATTTATCCAGTGCAGTACAACCGCTAGGCTCATCCGGTCGAAACAGGCAGGAGTGTGGATCGAACCCAGGATCCCTGGGCAACAATGCGTGGAACACAGCGCGCGCCCTGTGCTCTGGTAACTCCAACCTGTGACTATGTTGTGGCGAATTCGCGTGGTTCTTTCTGCGCGCTCTCGAGCGCTCTTCCCAG